TAATTATCCTTTGGGCCTTATTTAAAATAATATCTGTCTACTGAGGAATACATTTGCAGACAGAGACCATTTAGTCAAAGATAGACAGACTGCGATATTTTCCCATCTAATTTTGCCGTCATGCCTTACCTAAAAAAGATAGACGAATTAGTAAGAAAGTGGTGGATTGATTGACAGGTTAGGACAAGTGCCTTCTTAACTTGACTTACATACTTACATCCTTACATCTCATTATCTCAACCATACTCGCTTACAGACTTACGCAGTCTCGATCAGGGCTTTCTCTTGGGCCATTAAACCTTGATGACCAGGGCCTGAAAATAGTCTTTTGCGAAGAAAAGTTGGGTTTCGAAGAATCTCTTGTTTCATAATTGTTGAGCTTACTTCCATTTCGAGTTAAAGTGTTTGGTGAAGAGATTCGAAGGTCGATTTCACCAGAAGACAACGGCGGATTCTTCTTGACCAGCTGTCGATTGGCTTTACTGGAACATTCATGGTGACGCTGTTTCCGAGGTAATCTCCTTCGATTCCGGTCAAGAGGTGCCTGACTCGTTAGCTAGAATTTGGTTGTGACGATGCTACCTTGCTATGACGATGTACGTCACATCAAGGACTAAAGATCAGCAATGATTCATCGAAGTCGCAGGGCGGTGCGCCGAGGACCTATTCGCCAAAATTTACAATCACAGCTCCAGGCCAACGCATCCACAGCCTTCGGTGGGACGAATCCCTTCCACTCGCCTTTTCAAACTAAATGAAAAGTACTCCAACATCAAGCTACTTCTCAAGCCTTCAGTAGCACGTACAAAGTCGCCTCATCTGCCGAGCGCCTAGGCTATGATTCCCGTGCTTGCGGATATTAGGCATTACCTTCACACATCATCACCTATATTAAATCCATGTACACGGAGCAAACTGTGGACATCGATCTCTGGTCGCCTGCTGCATCTCAAGTGGATTATTAGTCAATTTGGTCATAATGCCCAACTTCTGTGATCCAATCCCTCGCCCTAGTCACGCGAAACGTCAGGCCCCTAAAGTTGTAGTTGCTTATTCGAGTTGACTACACTCACTGAGAACGTCTTAGCTTCATTTCCGAAACTTCCTCACCCTCTTCTTCCTTGCGATCCCTTTTCCTCTGGTTTACGATAGATTCTTGATCCAGGCGTCTTCTTTTTGCTTGTATTATTTTGTATCCGTGTTTTCTCAGAATTTAATTAAGTAATAGGAAAAGTTATCACTAAATCTGTCTTCTACCAATTTCCCCTCCCTTCCTAATCTTCCGTTCCTTTGTGCCTTCACTGTATGAAGACCTTCTTTCTATTGCCTTCCAATTGATCTCGTGTCCAGGTTCTGCGATGCGTTCCGCTATATTTGATCTTTCTGTATGTATTTTACTGCAGAAACATGATTAGTATGCTGATTTTTCTCCTTGTTTCGCCAATATATTTCTGTTTGCAAGCGCCGCCTGTTATGCCGTAAACTCCCGAGCAAGTTGCGTGGGCAGTCTTGTGAAGAGTGTTCTCTTTTCTTTCGTGGTCACCTTGAGGGTAGACCAATTGGGTTGCTCTGAAGTTTATTACATAGCATGCAGCGCCTGGTCCTCATATCTATGAGATAAAAACTGAATTAATTACTTAATTCATTAATTATATATTGAGTGATTACTTAATTGAATGAATGAGTCACGAACAAACAAATAAATTAATAATGAATGAATAAGTAAAATTCTAGTATAAATAATAACAAATTAATGCATTCTTATCGAATAATAAAGGATTGGATAATTAAATGAATCAATTAATGAACCAAGTAATTAATTAATGACTGAATGAATGGATGAATGGATGAAGTAACTAAGCAAATAACTAATAGATCATGCATTTATTGAATGAACGTATGAATGATTGATTATATGAATGAAGAAAGGAATGAACGACAGAATGAATGAGTAAATAATGATTGATGAATGAATAAATAAGTGAATGAAATAAATACTGAACGAATAAATGAAGGTACGAATGAATGTATGAATTAGTAATTAAATGAATTAATAAATGTTTCGAAAAACACATCTTCAGCAAAGGCATTGGCTATCAGTCGAGCCAGAGGGAGAGGGCAAATCATGTTGATCAAAAATAACTTTAAAATGATTAGGGGACGAAAGTGCTCGGTCCAGAATAGCATATTTTTCTCCTGCACTTTTTCGAGCGAAACCGATGTGAAGGCGCAAGGCAAAGCTGAAGTACCTACATAAGACATTTTGCAGTTAGCGACGGTATTTGTCTCGTTGCTTCTGAGTTCAACTGCCTTCCTGTTGGACTGAAACCAAAGGTAGTGTTCGATTCTTTCAGTAACTTCCGTTCAAACTAGAAGGAAATATTGGCTCAAGATTTTTTCCCAGCAGAATTCAATCCGTACCTGTTCCTTCCAAAGGGCAAACACGACTCTCGCAGTATTATCCCACCCGAAAAGATAATTTGCAAGAGAAGACAAGCCTTGCTTGATTCATAGCATTTTGTCCATGCCATTTTGTCCGATGTACTACTCAATTTTTAGTCAGTAGTGACCTATTATTTAAGGAGCTATCAGGAGTCTGGTTATATTAGCTCTTGTTTGAAATATGGGATACATGGAAAGTGGAAATTCGCTACTGGAATCCTGCATTATCCTCAAATCATCCTGGGCAGACTTCCTTGCAGTCCAAGTTGAAACCAGTTTAAGATGATCCTCAAGTTAGCATAAAATGCCCGACGTTAGAAGTCTGTCTTGTTATATCCAGCATAGAGGAACTAGAAGATCCACAAGATCCGAAAACCAAGACTACGTGGCTCCTTTGTGTTCATAATCTCATTATAAAGAGTGACTCTTTCCTTAACTTTAAAAATGCGCCTGTTTTTTTTTTTGGCTGGGCTCATCTCCTATCCTTCTCGAATCACTGATTGGTGCCGTGTATTCATAAGTAATTTAAAGGGCAGCGTTGCTGAGCTGACTTTTATTGCGAGTGCGTTTATGTGATTAAGGGTTTCACTGGTCAATCTCAGCAGAAAATAGTGGTCTGCTCTGGTATCAGTTCGCCGATAGAAAGTTCTGAGCTTTCGTATGCCATGTAACATTGCATCAGTGAGCATACCTGGAACACTTTCTTGTAGCGGCTTAAGGCTTACAATGATTTTTTTGACTTGACATACTCATGAGTTACAGCTTGACCCTTATCTGCTTAGTGGTATGACCGTTAATTGATACCTCCCAAAATCAGCTACTCTAATGAAATTAATTTGTAAAAGCACTGACACCTGTAGTGAAGTCAGTAATATTGTCACTTTCCGTCTATCGCGTCTCAGTCCACTTATTATGCAGGCCAAAATGCTGTTAAAATGGTGACTTACATTTATGAGGTTGCACATGACGAACTATGAGTAAAGCATACTGTTAGTTGGCTATATGGATTGCTTATGTATCCTTTGACAGCATGGCAGGGAAAATTATATAATTTTTTTACTTTCACTTAAACAGAGTAAAAATCCTCGTTAATTCACAATGGAATAAAAAAAAGTTGATCACTCATCCTTTTTCTATGTTATAAATATTAGGGCAGATATGTTTATAGGAAGCCAGAATATGCTGGTTTTATTGTCAATTTACTTTATATCCATAATTACCAAACCAAGGTTGGAATTTTTATTTTATTATTTTTGGGATCATGAAATTCATTTGACCGAAGAGTTGGGTAAGTTGTAACAGCTATTTCTAGTTGATAAGTATTTTTTAATATTTATTGAAAATGATATCTCATTAATATAGAATGCAATCTTGACGGATGCCTTCTTTTAGAATAAAATTTGATAATTCTCAAG